CAGTCATTACATTGCTTATTTCTTTTAGCACCTAGATAAAAAGTCCTTGCTAGGAGTTCTTACTAGTCTCTCTCCCACACAGTCGCTTGAGAGTCAACCATCGAAAAAAAGGGATAAGCTGGTATTCAAATCAATATTTTGAGTGTTTTATATAAATACTCTGGCACGCCCGCAAAGAATCCATCGACCGGTATAAGACCAAAAAATCGCGCCAACATATTTTGGCACGCCCGGTGGGACCACTAGTGGGTGTTGGAAGAAGCAAAAATGCCACGGCTTACGAAAAATTCCAAGGCCGTGGCTACTAATGAAGATTTGGAGGAAGGACATCAGCCAGCTTAGGCTGAGAACTCTGTATCTGGTCCTACTGATGAGTTAGCGATGATGTAAGCACAAGTGAGCTCATTGGTAGATGCAATGGGAAGAATGGGTGCACGTTGTAATGATATACAGGAAACTATGTCCCAACTTTCAGCTGCAGTTTTTAATAGGTCGATACAGGCAAGCAACTCCAATAATCAGGAATCGGCTCATCAGCCAAATCCGTCACAATCTATTCGGCCAGAGAGGGCCGTTGAATTATCACAGCCATGGCCACCAGTAATGATTCTCCAACCAGCTGCAACATCAAGTCAGCCGGCTCATACACCACCAACCTGGACAGAGAACCACTCGCAGCCTACTATTTCTGGTTTTAATCAACCGCTAGTAGCAGTTCCGTGGCCACAAGTAATTTCACCAGACCCTACTCGGCTACCTTTGAACTCGGGGGGTAATTAGATCAAATGGAGACCACCGAACCCACTATATACTTATGTTCCACCACAGGTTGGGCTCGGGGCAGAATATGGTTAATCAACCAAATGATTGGCCGAATTACTATCAACCAGCGACTAATCAGCCGCTAGTTTTTAATCAGGTACCACCAATAATAAATCTGCCACCTCAAGTCATGTTAGATAGAAGACAATTTGTTGATTTACTCACAGAATAGTATGGCCTGGAACTTAGAGGTGCTGGTCGGCCAATCTATAGAACTCCATATCCAGAAGTGGTAGATCAATTTGAGTTCCTTAGAGGATATAAAGTCCTAGACTTTGTAACCTTCAGTGGTGAAGGGAGTCAATCGACCGTGGAATACATTGGCCCCTTCATAGTTCAATGTGGAGAGGCTAATGTGAGCCCTTGGTTAAAATTAAGATTTTACCTAACTCATTGACTAGGGAAGCTTTTTCATGGTATATACGTTTACCCCCTAACTCTGTTTTTAATTGGCCACAGATGGAGGAGTTATTTCATAATTAGTTCTACCGCACAGAGACCGAACTAACTTTAGCTGATTTATCCAGGCTGAGCCAATTGCCTAGTGAATTGGCCGAGACATTCATTGCAAGGTTTAGGGGGGCAAGATTAAGATGCCGTGTGCCTCGTCCAGAATAGGAGTACATCCGTTTAGCTTTGAACGGCCTAGATTTTGAACTTTGGAAGAGGTTTGAAGGGGTCCCATTTCGTGACATGTATGACCTGGCCGAGAAAGCTACCAGGTATGAGTTGGTCCTCAAGGAGGAAAAAGAACGAAAAAATTCCTCTAAAGGAACGTACTATAGGGACTTAATTATGAAGTTTTTTCAACTGATGTGGTTGAAGAAGAGGATCTTGATTCTAATCTTGCTGAGATTATTATTAAGAAGCCTTATGTATGTGAGGCTTTGACAGAACCCAAGTCATTTACCAGTGGTAGTCAGCCATCAACATCATCGGCCAGGAAGGGCACAGCCAACACTGGTAAGGTTTATACGTTTGACTTGGCCAAGACAGAATAAATTTTTAATCATTTGTTGGTCGACAAACAAATTGTTCTACCAAAAGGACACAATATACCATCAGCCACTGAATCCAAAGGAAAATAGTTCTGCAAATTTCATAATTCATGGAATCATAATACCAATAATTATTATGTATTTAGAAATGTATTGCAGAAAGTAATTGATGAAGGTGTATTAAAATTTCCTAAAAAGAAGCCGGATGTGATGGTGGTCGATGGTGATCCATTCCCTAATATTGTAAATACCAACGTTATCAACCTGGCACTTGAAAAAGCTGCTAATAATAGTAAGCAAGAAAGATCACCAAAAATTCCTGATAGTTCATCATCAGCCAGCAGTAATGAGCAGCGGTTGAAGGACTTGGAAAATCAATTGAGGGAGGCTCAAATTGCCCTCATCAACCATGGTTATTGCCCAAGTTGCAAAGGTCGTGGAAATAATCAAGACAAGATGAGCCATTTTCAATCGACCAGGAAGCACAGTGTCCATGAGAGGTTGGGTTTTCAGCATAGACAGAATCATGAAGAAATCAATCGGCCGTTATTCAGAGAGAATAGGCCGAGGGTAGTAAATATCATTCGGTCAGAAAGATCTGTGGCTGTTAGAGTTTTACCAGAGCAACATTCCTACACTAGTTTAAAAAAAAAGCAAGTAATCCAGTAAAAAATATGGGTTCAAAAAGGGAAAGAATCTAGCCGTGTAAGAACGGTCAGACCTCCTTTGGTTGACCATGGCAGATGGACTCGAGTGAATCATCCGAAGTTTCCTAAGCAGCCTCCTACACGTACTTAAAAAATGAGGATGTAAAGGAAAAATGCAGAACTTAGAAGGAAAGAGAAATGCAGAACTTGGAAGGAAAGAGGATAAAGTTGACCAGGTTCAGCCAAGATGAACCAGGGGAGGCTGAAGACATGGAGATTGCTATATCTTTCGGGAATAAGACATCCTCTTATAAGGAGAAAGATGATGAGCCAGATCAAAATCCAAAACATGCGGCCAAGTATAGAATTCGCTTTGGCTTCCTTCCAGATGAGTTAAATTGTAATATGGTATTTGTTTAACTTTCTATGTTTGAAGCTAGGACAAAGCCCATGATGAACAGGGATGTTAAGTCAACCGAGCCTAATGATGAAGCTGAATCTTCATAAATCAAGAATGACACAAAGAGTTCATCGGTCGGGGTAGGAATGATCTCTTAAGACCAGCCAGCCGAGGCCGATAAAATCATCTTTGAAAAACCACCTCTGGCCATGACACAACAGTTAAGGCCGTTGTATGTTAAAGTATGGGTTGAAGGCCAGCCAATCAATAGGGTGTTATTTGACAATGGTTCAGTGGTAAATGTCATTCCAGCAACTACTTTGAAGAAATTAGGCAAAACCATGGATGATGTGGTTCCAACCGATGTGGCCATTAGTAGTTTTTATAGAGGATTAAGTAATACTAAAAGTATTCTGCCTTTGGAAATTACTACTGGTGGCAAAACATCCTTCACGGCTTTCTTTATCATTGACTCAACCGCGGCCTATAATCTTTGTTTAGGCCGAGATTAGATTCACCCTAACATGTGTATCCCATCAACATTGCATCAAATGTTGATTTTTTGGAATGGAAATGAGGCAAAAATTGTTGAGGCCGATAATAAACCCTTTGTAACTGGGTGTATTCGGCCGAGGCTGCACTTTATGATGAAACTGTTGTACCTATTAAATTTGTTGGCACTAACAGAATGGGTCGCCAGTAGTAGCAACAATGAAGAAAAACCTGGTAAGTACTCATATTAAAGAGTTATTAACAGAAGTAGTTCAGCCGAAAATTGATATTTTCAGGTCGACCATTAAACAAATTAACGGCATTTCTGATGGATCACACGACTAAAGAAGAGAAGAAGCGGCAAGCTTTTAAGGCCGCTTGCATAAGACTAAAAGCATATCTGGCTAAAAGGGGATTGGCCAGAAAAGTGCAGTTAAATGAAGAGGTATCGGCCAACATGGCTGATATAGTTGAAGAAGGTTTTGAAAAGTTAGATGCAATTCCACTTGAAAATTTGGAGTCAGCCCCTTCTAGGATGGAAGATAATAAAGTAGAGGTTCAAAATCCTTTATTTGAAATTAATGTTGGTACTGAAAAAGATTATCGGCCATTATTTGTTAGTTCTTTGCTTGAGCCTAAATTTCAGGCCGATTTGATCAATTTATTAATGGAATATAAGGATTGCTTTGCTTGGAGTTATGAAGAGATGCCTGGCCTATCATGGGAGTTGGTAAAACATAGATTGCCTATCAAAAAAGATTTCCAGCCTTATAAACAACCACCAAGGAGGATGTCCTTGGAAGTGATGCGTAAAATTAAAGAAGAAATTGAAAAACTTCTTAAGGCAGGATTTATCCGAATAGTTAAGTATGTTGAATGGTTGTCTAATGTTGTTCCTGTAATAAAGAAGAATGACAAACTTAGGATTTGTGTGGATTTTCGCAATTTAAATAATGCCACTCCAAAAGATGAATATCCAATGCCACTAGCCGATCAACTTATCGATTCGGCTACTTAGCATGAAATATTATCTTTTATGGACGGCCATTCAAGTTATAATCAAATCTATATAGCCGAAGAAGATATTCCCAAAATGGCTTTTAGATGTCCTGGGTCAATTGGTACTTTTGAGTGGGTTGTAATGCCATTCGGCCTAAAGAATGTAGGGGATATTTATTAAAGGGCAATGAATTCAATCTTCCATGACATGATTGGCCGATTCATGGAAGTCTACATAGAAGATGTAGTTGTGAAGTCATCAGCCAAAAAATAGCATTTGGAACATTTGAAAAAGGCCTTTGAAAGGATGAGAATCCACAAATTGAAAATGAACCCATTAAGATGTGCTTTTGGGGTCTTAGCCGGGAACTTCTTGAGATTTTTGGTACATCAACGAGGCATAGAAGTTGATCAGAATAAGGCCAAAGCTATTATAAATGTTATGGGCCCAACCAATAAAAAATAGGTACAAATCTCGGCCAGGTAGGTTTTCTTAGAAGATTTATTTCTAAACATGTTGGCCGAGTACATGCTTTTTCTCCTTTATTAAAATTGAAGTCACATGAAAAATTTCATTGAGATGAATCCCATCAAAAGGCCTTTGAAAAAATAAAAGAGTATTTGGCAAACCCCCCGGTATTGATGCCTCCAAGGAAAAAATGGCTATTGAAACTTTATTTATCAGCTGCAAAGGAATCAATTGGTAGTATGCTTGCTCAGAATAATGAACTTGGAAAGGAACAGGCTGTTTACTATTTAAGTAGAGTACCAACTGATGTTGAATGCAGATATTCTTCAATTGAGAAGCTTTGTTTATCTTTGTCTTATTCAACCATGAAATTAAGGGTATATATGCGGTCGGTTGATGTCTACCTTCTTTGTCAAACTAATGAGATTAAATATATGCTATCAAGGCCATTAATCACTGGCCGAATAGGTAAGTGGGCATTGGCCTTGATGGAATTCAATTTTATTTTTGTCCCACAAAAATCAGTTAAAGGAAGGGTTCTGGCTGATTTCTTAGCCGATCATCCTTCAACTGATATTGATCCACAGGTTTATGATAAACTAGAGTCATCAGTCATATTCCTAACTCCTTGGATATTGATGTTCGATGGATCAAGAACGGCTGATGGAGCGAGGGTAGGTATTGTTATCATTTCTTCAGCCGGAAGAAATATTTCATTTTCATTTTTCTTAGATTTTAATTGTCCAAATAATCAGGCCGAGTATGAAGCACTTATAATTGGCTTAGAAATTTTAATTGAAATGGATGTTGGTGATGTAAAATTCTTGGGAGATTTAAACTTGGTACTTAGTCAAATTACTGAAGATTTCAATGCTTAAGTTGGCAATTAACACCGTTTCACTCTCTGGCCACTCCATTGATGAATCAATTTGATAATGTTCAACTTAAGTTCTGGCCAAGTGGTGGAAATGAAGGAACAATTTGAGTTTTTTCATGCACAACCTGCCAGTACAAAAAGGTTTAGAATAATGAATTTTAAAGTATGGACAAAATTTAAGGTATGAGACAATCAATACCTTGGATGATTCAGCCATATCTGCAACCAAGGGTGGCTGATTACTGGAGGAAGAAATTCTGGCTGAAGAGCTGTGCCGTCTCCTTGAGATGAAGCTTGGCAGGAGTAACTTGGAAGATTAAAGGAACCTTGATGGGTTCATGAAATTCCTTCAATGGGCTGAAATTCTTAATTGGGCTGTAAACCAAGTCAATGAGAAGAGATTGCTGCAAAAGAAAGACCAATGGTGTTAGTAAAGTATTAAAGGTTGAAAAGCTTATATAAAAACCATCATTACCACTTTTTCATCTAAGGAATGATCAGAATGATCATCAGGTACATTAATTACAGGGTCATCGGCCAATTCGATTACAGGTTTATCAGCCACATCTTCTGTTGGCTGAGGACTTGTTTCAACTTCAAGTTTTTTGCTTTTGTTCAACTTTGTCCTCTTTAAAGTTCTATGGACAGCAGACTTTTTTCTCTTTATTTGTAACTGACTAACTGAATACTGATAGCAGGCAGGGATTGGATAAGAACAATTCAATAAACCCTGTATTTTGAATGAAAACTTCCTGTTCTACTAATTTGAGTTTATGAGTGGATCCTTTCTTCACTTGGACTTTTTGCGCTCTTGCTTTGAATTTCACCTTCGTCACCCTATCCTGGAAACTCCGGATTATAACGAATCTCCGGAAAGATATGGCCTCATTGCTGTTCTCTCCCTGAAGAAAAAAAATCTTTTTAAAAATGTTCTCGGCCGATAAACAACTCTGGCCGAGAAACAGGAATCAATATCGGCCATGTATTATGGAAATACAGCCGATATGATCATTTGTACTAAAGAATAAAAGTTTTTTAGGCTAAGAAGTATAATTTTTTACCTTGCCTACAAGTGGAGAGGCTGGAGCAACATCAGGGATGGTGGCTGATTCAGTTTCTGCAGGCTGAGGAGGTTGACTGGAGGAAATTTCATCATCTTGAAATCAACATTCTTTGGATTAAGGGAGGCTGACAAGGTATTATTATCTGAATATGCAAAAGAGTAAAAGAATCTAACTCAAAACTTTTAAATATATATATATGAAAATAAAGGAAGATTATACCTTTGAGAAGGCTGGCTGTGGCCTTGGCCTTAGCTTTTCTTTCCTTATTAATCCTTGTTGGATGATCTGTTGGCAAAAGAAAGGAAGTTTATTAGCTGTTTGTTTCTTGCCTTTTGGATGATGTTTTTGAGGCACAACTGTCTTTGGGGTAACTGCCCAAGTGATTATGAAAGCCCTTTTAAAGGCAATAGATATGAACTTGAATGATTCTAGGATTTTGATGATAAGGGATCGGCATTCAGCCGTCCTGGTAAAAGCAATATAAGAAGACCACCATTGGTCAAAACTGGAATCTGAGGCTGGTTTTTTGATGAAGGGTTGCAATTTGAATCCAGCTTATAAACTAGAAAACTGAGAGGATACATTCTTAACATAAGAGTCATCCGGAAACACTACACGACGATGAAAATTTTTGTTAAAGAAAAGATAAAGAGGCATAGGAATCATTTGGGTCAGGCCAAATTGCCTAGCAAGCTTGCTGGGGTTATAGAATTCAACCCTAACCTTTGTATTCACGGTCCCTAAAGGACTAGTATTGAAATGAAGATCCCTTAAAATAAGAAAACTGGCCCATATTGCCGAAAGTTCATCAGTTGTCTTTTTTGTGGATACTCCTTGAGGTGGAGTCAGCCATCGAGGGGCTTGAGAACAATGGGAAAATGGAAGGAATTGGCTTATGGTCCTATGCTCACAGCCAGAGTAGAAGAAATTGAAGCAATCTCCAAATGAGTGAGATTTGGGTACGGCCGATGCATAACTCACAGAAAATAATGGGTCATTGGCCGATGGCCTCACCACAGGCCCTAAGTCAGTAAAGTATACTTGTAGCCAAATTTAAAATAGCTAAAGGGGGCCACCATAGCGTCCAAAGTTGGAAGTGAGCAAGTCATAAATTCCCCGATATAAATGGGAAAGCACTAAAGGGGCTAGAGCAAGGGGTTTACCTCTGGAAAGAGCAACGGCCACATGGATGTAATCCTTAGTAACTTGAAAGGCCAGCACATATAAAAGAAACTTATTCAGCCAGGCCAATAAAAAGGCAATATGTTCGGCATCATTTACAAGAAGACGAGGGTCCATGGTAGAATTTAAATACTTGCCATATGAAGACTCAGAGGATTTGATTCCAATTTGCTTAGAAGGGAAAACGAAGGGAGAATCCTCCTCTACCAATAAGCTGCTCACATCAATCCCAAAAGGCTTGAGGCCGGTTAAATAGCATATGTCTTGAATAATTGGAGCCATCGTGCCATACTTCAAGTGTAAGGAGTTGGTGGTGGTCGACCAGTTAAACATAGCCGTTATCATTAAAGCCCTGTTTTGAGCAATATTTGTTTTGCTTAGTTGAATGGCATCATAAATACCACAAGCTTTCCACGTCTCTCCTTTTACAGCCCCAACCCGATCGACCCAATTGATCCAAGCATCATTAGGAACATGCCATGTCCTAAAATGAAAATGTGGCAAACTGCCATTTTCATCAGTGGAAAAGTTTGAAGGAATGGAAGCACATTAGCTGAAGGGTAGAATGGTGAAATGAATCCAGGGGCTTTGTCAAGGAAGGCAGGACCCAAACCCTTGAAGTCAGTACGGAGATCTATGAGAGTATTGAGACAATACTTATAAGAAGAGAGGGTTTTTAGGGATTTCTCGATGATATTGCCGTGAGTCGAAGAATTTGAAGGTTATGGGGCTGAGGTAGAATTGCTTGACTTGGTTTTCTTAGGAGCCATGAAAGATCGGCAAAGGAAGGAATTTGGGTTGTTAAAACTTGAGAAAGAGAATTTCAAAGATATCGATTTAAGGGTAAGAAGAAGAATAATTTCAGGGTTGTAAACATAGAGCTAAATGCCGGTAGATTGAAGTAGATGCGTCCAATCACCGCTTTTATTGGGAACTGATAACTATTAAAGCAGGTGGTTGGGTGGAGTAAGAATTTATTACAGAAATTTGAAATTCAAGTTTTGGCCGATTAAAATTCCAAAAGCCTTTTATTATAAGCGATAAGGCATTTGAAATTTAGGGGGCATTTGTTGGCACCAAAACTTGGCAGCCACTTCAGCAGTGACGTGGACCAATGAAGAGCTGACAAGTGCAATATGATTCTAAGGAAAGACGGCCAATTGAGAAACAAGAGGAGATAATCTAGGAATTCAGCCACCTTATCTAATAAGGTTGTTGCTGAAATTTGGTAACTAATATTTGAATTAATTCAAATATGCTGTTTAAACTGGAACACTAAAGATTTAGCTAAATTAAAAACCCTATGAAATAGGGATTTAATTGGAGAAGGAATTCCAGTAAAGAAGGGACAGCCGTATGAGTTCAAAAGCTACAAAAGGTTATTTAGACCATGTAAGGAAAATACATCAGCCGGGCCTATGGAAGGAAGTTGCTAAAAGTCAACAACTTTTCAGCAATATTCTGACAACTTATATTTGATTAAATCAAGGAAGGTTATTTCAACAAGGATCTTCTACTAAAGCAAACCGTGAAGAGAAGTAGAAATATATTGGGATTTGACCCAGTAAGCATCATGAAGAGAAGAAAATCAAGGAGAAGAGGATTTTTAGAGCAATTAATTAGGGAATAAAGTAGATTAAGACTTCTATGAATAGAAATATTGTAATTCATTCCAATTTGTCCAGCACCACCCACAAAACATGCATTTCTTATTCAATTGACTCTACGTCATTTTCTATCAATTTCTTTATGGCAATTTTCATTCAAAGAATTTAAGTTCCAGTAGCCTACTCTTCTTTTGCAATGCTTTAATTATGCTATTTACATTATCAGTTACTTTCTTTCAAGCAAACGGATTCAATGGCCAATCTTTAATAAGATTCGCGTCATGTTAATTCGGCCAGTTTATTTCATTCATTTACTTTCCATGCAATTTCCATTTTGCCTGTTTTAATTATGCACCTTTCAATTAAAAATGTTTTCAATTCAATGGCAATCGATTAAATTCTTGTCATTGCATTTAGTTGGCAATTGATTAAATTCTTGCCACGACATTTTGTTTTATTGCATTTCTTTCAGTCAATTTCCATTCTGCCAGTTTTAATTATGCTATTTTAATTCAAAATGTTTTCAATTCAGTGGCAATCAATTAAATTCTTGTCATTTCCTTTACTAGCAATTGATTAAATTTTTGCCACTGTATTTTCATTCAGCTGGTTTCTTTCAAGTCAATTTAAATTCAGTGTTTTCATTCAAATTTTCTTCAGTCATTACATTGTTTATTTCTTTTAGCACCTAGATAAAAAGTCCTTGCATCAAGGCATAAAAGAACCTTGCTAGGTGTTCTAACTAGTCTCTCTTCCACACAATCGCTTGAGAGTCAGCCATCGAAAAAAAGGGATAGGCTGGTGTTTGAATCAATATTTTGAGTGTTTTATACGAATATTCTGGCACGCCCGCAAAGAATCCATCGACTGGCATAAGACCAAAAAATTGCGCTAACATATTTTGGCACGCCCGGTGAGACCACTAGTGGGTGTTAGAAGAAGCAAAAATGCCACGGCTTACGAAAAATTCCAAAGCCGTGGCTACTGATGAAGATTCGGAGGAAGGACATCAGCCATCTTCGGCTGAGAACTCTTTATCTGGTCCTACTAATGAGTTAGCGATGATGCAAGCACAAATGAGCTCATTGGTAGTGCAATAGAAAGGTTGGGTGCACGTTATAATGATATACAAGAAACTATGTCCCAAC